GGTGAACTCATCAATTTTTTTATGGGGGAAAAGTAAATACATTTTGACGAAAAATTTACAATATTTTTGCAAGATTTCAAAGCATTCGGTTTGTTTTCCAGTTCCTGATTAAATCAATAATATAAATTTACGCATTCATTAATTTTTTTAAGTCACTCACCCTGTATAAGCAAATCCAAAAAATATGAATAGAATAGAATGATAAATCACAAGTACAGACCCATCATATTTTAGACATTTTAGATGGTATTTTGGAAGGGATAAGCAAATATATTTTGATTAAAAATTCAGACTTCCATAACTATAAAACATCTGCAAGCTTTCAAAGTATTCGGTTTTGCAGATTATAAATTAAATTTCAAAATGTTGTTTTATAATTTTGATTTTTTTTACAAAAATTTGGACGTTTCGGGTAAAAACTCAACACGGCGTCATAAACTACATGTATAAGACTATGTTATTTTATACACTTTAAAACCCATTTGATATGTACAATTTTGAAGTGACGTCATCACATCATTGGTGGGGAGCCAAATTTTGATTAGCTATTTACCATCTACATGATTCCTTAAAAAAATACAAAATTTGTCAACAATCGTCTAGGCAGGGAAATGCAATTTTCACTCCGGTTTCAGAAAAAAATATTTTATATACATATTACTGTTTTATTATTCGTCTCTAATGGCCTGGATTTTTGTTGACCAAATAGTAAGTTAGAGCATTAAGAATAGTTGTCATTGTAAAGTCATGAGAATCAGCTGAAAACCAACTATTACTTGGTGTACCTATTGCTGGTTGTGTAGATATTGCGAGAGCCTTGTGGCCTTAATTTGTGCTATTGAACTCTGGTTGTAAGAAATTTTCGTCAGCAACAAGTGACAAAACTGGTAAATCATATTTTTATGGTTAATTCGCTGTTTAAATCCAAGAATATAAAGTAGTTCTTCTAGAGTAAATGCAACCAATAAAAAAATGCACAGATGACTTTTTTTTTAAATATCAAAAACTACATAATACCTTCACTGTCTAATAATAATTAAATGTTTTCACGCAAAAATTGTAAGCAACGACAAACATAAAATACTCAAAGGCAGAATAAAGGCTAATTACTAGTACCACTAGTTGTAACTTTTAGTACTTGGTTTCAAATATTTACATTTTGAATTTGTTTTGTATTTCACTTAATTATTGAACTTGTCCTTTTCTGGCAAATTAAACAGATAAGTGTTCATTCGCAGCAAAACAATAGTAGCGTGTTTAGTTATACTTTTTTAAAGAAATACCTTAGCGCCCACAAAAATGATTAATTCGCGTCATTTCAAATGCATAAACAAATGTTTCCGAGTGAAAACAATACTGAATGAGCATAAAGGAAACTTCACAACAATACAATTGATACAAAAGCATCCCGCCGCTGTTTTATCCCGAAGTTCGGTGGTTTTTCTCTGATATTTCCACAACCGCACATCTCTCCAAAAACAAATGCCTCCAATAAAACTTGGCGGCATATGTCTGCGGCAATTGACTAGTTAGTTTAGACTTCAACAATGATTTAGAACCTATACATTTCCACTAAGTTTTTGTTTGTTTTGCCCCCTCGGCGCAAATCGTGGTAACTTTTTATTACATCACTTCACCCAATACATCACCCTGATGATATTGGAGTTTTCGTTGAACGGATTTATTGGTTCCTTCATAAAGGAGACACATGGCGATGTGGGGAAATTTTTTACTTGACTTGGTCGAAATTAAAAATTTGAAATTTTACAGAGAATCACGCCCAATATTTGAGCAAGCTTAATCCTGGGGCTTAATCTGGCCATTTAGAGGCAGTAAGGTCAAGTTTTGTAACAACATGGAAATTGGACGCAGACCGACCGGATATTAACAATAACATTCTGGGAACAGAATCAAAGAATGAGATGGGTTGAGTAGATAATGCTCCAGTGAATATTAAAAGATCCGCATCCGTTCCTTTTTTTTCAAGTCTCATTTTTTGTTTATAATTAGGTAGAACAAATTCTTTTTTCAAACTAAATTTACATGCAACGAAAAATATTAATCAAAATATTTGTAATTACTTGTAGAATAGAATCGAAGGGTCGAAAATCTACAGTAATTTTTTTTTTCAAAAAATAAACCTTTTAAATTTTCTCTTGCTCATTAATTACTTTTATTTCCAGAGTGGTAGTGTCCATCGGACGACTGACTACTTTCAACGTAGGAAAAAATAGGTCTTCCGTTTCCGTTTGTGTGGCTGCCTGCCTGCCATCTGCCTTTGTACAAATGTTAAGAATACTGTGTAGATGATAAAGCGTTAAACAAAATGTTACAATTTTACAATCAAACAAATTTGAATCTTATTTAACTTTTATAAAATTATATACTTACCTACTGCTGTACTTGTGGTTTATGAATTCATGCCGAGTTTTTACCCTATTCGTCCAGATTATTGGAAAAAAAAATCAAAATTGTATAACAAATTTTGCCTTATTCATCCCGTATGAAATGTACAAAACAGAATGAATCTATACTTACTTGTGGTATATCAATGCAATCATATTTTTTTTTAATTAAGAAGGATTATTATACGTAGAAAACAATCTCTGAATTAAATTTTATCATTGTTCAAAGAAGCGAGTTTTGTTGAACTGTACTTCTGGAGCGAGGGAAGTTCTATCGAAACAACCTTTGATCTTTTTTTATGAGATCTACCAACGAACCAACAGCTAAGTAATAGATTTTTCATCAATAAATGCATTAACTTGTGTTCTAAATAGCCAAGTGTTTGCACTACAATACGATTATATGTTTTGGAAGTTTTTGTCATTCTGCTACAACGATGATATTATCGTCATTACGTCATTAACTGTCGAATAACAGATTCCTGAGTTTCGGTTAAATTTTTCGTGCTTGGGACTACTTTCAATTGGAAGAAAATATGAGTCGATATAAAACGTCTCAACTTTTGTATCATATTTTTGTAAAGAATAATAGGTTGGTACTTGTTCTTTGAGTGGTATAAGTTATGAGCATTTTATCAAGGTGGCTAAAACCACCATGTGAACACACTGTTCCAGATAAATGGGTTATTGCAAATTAGTTGACACAAGGTGCGATTTACTTGTGTTCAGTTTTTTTTCTTAAATGTACGCACATTTTTCAAGGAAGCATAATCGGTTCTGATATTATTTAATAGTTTACACCGTAAACGTATAACGGATTTGAAACAAAATATAAAGAAGCATTTTACAAAAGCGTTTCCATTGCTGTATTTATCCCAACCAGCAAGGCGTCTCCATTTACGAGTATTGAGTATTATTGATGAATTTAGGCATCTCAACAAAAATTCGTTGACGATTTTCCCGTTTCTTGTAGTTTAGATAGAATTAAAATTTTAAATTTTAACAGTGAATATTTCTATTTAGTTTCTCATTATTTTGCATTTTCTGTACTCATTTGGATTTTGACTTCCCGTGCTAATGAACTATTAGTGTCATGCCTAGTTTCATGTTGTCTCGATGTTTCACGACCCCTAGTGTATGAAAAATTCTGCATTTCTGTATATTTGTCTGTTTGCCATCTACTGGCAATTTTATCAGGCAGATAATTCTCTGTGTGTCGTCTATCGTCTGTTGTCTGTCTGGGTCGATATTTTATTAGACACATATTTTTCAAAAGTACTGGACTGATTCTTGCAAAACTTTATATTATGTCTTTTGGGAATATCGTATAGATGGTTTAACGCTAAAAAAGTTGGTCTGGTCGTCCCCCCCCCAACAAACTGATGACGTCAACTCAAAGTTTTGCATAGTAAATGTTATTTAAATTTTATAAAATAACATACTCCTGTTCTTGTGGTTTATGAATCCACCTTGATATTGTTTATTATTATTATTGTAATATTTATTGTTTAATCCTTCTAATACTAAATTTAGCTTCTAGATGCATAATACAAAGCGACGTGAAACGGAGAGATGCTCCCTTTACGCATGAATGCCCCCAGTTTTGATCCCTGTATTTTCCAACTACATATTTTATTGATTAAATCAAGAAATATTTATCCCATTTTTCGGAAAATTTCCGAACACAGTACATTTTTTTCAAAAATTTGGGTGCCTAAAGTAAAAAATCGATGATAATTCATAAATCCCAGATGCAGCAGAACGTTATTTCATAAAATTTAAGTAACATGGACTACGCAAAAGTTTGACATTACCTTATCAAATTGTTGGAGGTGATGATCAAACAACTTTTGGTTATCAATGTATCATCTACGTGGCATTCCTAAAATACTTACAAAATTTCACAACAATCAGTACAGTAGTTTCGCAGATTATCTGCCTAATAAAATCACCAACAGACTCTAAACGGACAGGCGACGGGCGGACGAAATTAAGAGACCAATTTTTGAATATTGTAATAGTCATTAACAAGTTTAATTTTTTCAATTAAATCTATGACGTTTTTCTATTAACGTGAGAAATCTTGAGAAAATCTATCATGCAGCTATTAGATATCCATTACTTAAAAAAATCAAATACAACTCCATATGAAGTTTTACTTGACCTGTTTTCTTTCCAACTTGGAAGGAGTGTAATATATAGATTATTATCGATTTTTTTCCATTTTGAGTCTTTTGATAATTTTAATGTTGTCTTTGTTGCTATTTATTGTGTGTTATTAAATTTTTGGTACTCTATACAGTTTGCACTTTTAAAGTTTTAATACTATCTGCTTTTTAGTAATAACAAATCACACAAAAACCTTGTAGTTTCATATAGTGCTTGTGGAGATGTGTGTTTAAGAATAACTTCCTATGATTAATTTCACCCTGTAAATTGTAACTGGCACGATAAAATAAAAAATCTTTAAAACAGCGTAGCAAGCAGTACACGAAATGTTCCTACGATATTACAGCATCATAAATAGTATTTTATACTCTGTCAACCCGAAAATTCCTCGACAAAAATGCAGCATCTGATTCTATCCCGTTGCAGTTCCACCGGACATTGATGACAGCGGAACCAGCAGCGACGTCACAGTGGAGGAAGGTGATAACGTCACTCTCAGCTGCAGCGCGAGCGGACATCCTGAGCCACGTATTTTGTGGAGACGAGAAGATGGAGATCACATTATGCTTCAAGACAACCCACAGGATATCAAAAAAGGTAATTAAGGACTGAGATAAATTCGAACTTTCAACAGAAAAATTAAACCTTTGTGTGTTTAAATTGATTATTTAGAAAGGCTTTCAAAAAGTATGCCATTCTGGCAAAAACACATCGCGTTTTTTGTCTCCTGAAAATTGTTTCAGTACTCATATAATTATCTCTCTGCAGTCCATTCATTAATCTCGATAAAAAAATTTTATGACCACCTTCTGGACGTAAACGAGTAACCCTGTTTTTTCCACCCTCTTCATTGTCCCCTCTTTTGTTTTTCTGTTAGGTGGTGCGTTTGAAAATCATTGTTCGCTGCTAAAATGAGCGTGACACAATATCATAAAAACGGAAAAAAGGCCTGGAATTTCAAGTGGCTTATAATATACTATACATATTCAAGAGCAATTTCCACTAGGAATATCCTGGAGTGACTGATTACGGCAGCAGCTCACATTTATGTGTTCTGAAAGAAATTCTCAAGGGTCTACATTAGAAAAACGTGATATTTAAAACCATTATAATGCATAATTATTTAACTGAATTCCTGTCGTGCATGCTGGGAAAATATGAGGGGAATCCTTGCTACTTATCATTTTTTCCATTAAAATGTCCTGATAGGTATTCTAAATGAAGTAAACATTTGCATCTTCGTTGTTGTTTTGTGGTTACAGTCAGCGTAACACAATTACTAAACACTTGGTAGTTACGCTAAACTAAGAAAATTTAATTCTACACTTCACTTCCTAACTGAAAAGACCTTTCTACGTGCGGAGAGTTAAGAATTCACATTAAATAGCAGAACCGCTTTGACTTATATTGCAAAGATCAGTTATAACGATTCTATTAAGCTTAGGTAATTTAGAGAAAATCTCTCAGATTTTAAGAAACTGCTGCTGACAAAATTCGATTAAAATTTTCTCGGAAAATTTATAACAGTAGAAAGTTTTTAACGACTTCTAGTTCAAGTTTACGCAGAATCCACCAATCATGGTCATCATAGGTTGCAGCTTTATCGACTTACTTCATAAATTGTCACGTCCCAGATTTGGTGCGGAATTAATTTCATAATCGATGAAAGCTGCAAATTGATTAAATTCTTCCGCAGCACGTCATTTTTACTTAACCAAATAAATACCATGCAACATACCTATTGTATCTAAAACTAAAAGGTTTCTCTTTCAAGTTTATTTTATACCTCTTTTTATAAATATTTTAATAATTTCAAATCGAATTTTGTCTCCACCCTCATTTCCGCAAATCAAAACTGATTTAATTTGTCGTAGTTTACGACAACATACAGCCGAAAGTTTAAAGGAATAATTTAATCAAAATATCCTTCTGTTTCTTTGACTACAGAAAAATTTTATCGGCTGAATGAGTCCGGAATTTTTTGATGTTATGAAAACTCGTTGTCTTTTTGCTTTTGATTGCATAATTTATTTGTTTTTTCAGATGTATAGAATGTGTACTCAGGATAACATATAACGTAATTATTCCCTCGAAATTCTCCAGGGTCACCACCACGCCACCTAGCAATTAAAGTGTCACAGCCTGATTGCCAAGGATTAATAGAGGTGTTTGTGTAGACAAAATACAAAAGCACAACTTTCTAATAGTATCATTAACATATCCAACGATGTAAAATTTAAAAGGAAGGTAACATAACTCGACTTTTATCAAACAATTCTCATTAATATTTGTGCATTAGGGCAAAACGCAGGTCTAGCGATATTTGGAAAGGTAGAACACATTTCTTTTTGACCGGATTTTAACTTCTAGGCGTCAATTTTCTTTTTTAAAATATTATTTAAACAAAATTATTAATTGGTTACCAGACACTTATCAGATACATGACAAAAGTGTTATACTTTTCATTATAAAAGTATTTTGCAGAAATATAGGTATTTACAAAATACTTTAATAATAAAAGGTCTAACATTTTTGTCGGTGTTTTTGAAGAAATTGGAATGAAAACATTTTTTTGAAAACTCCACACGGCAATAAAATTTTAAAATAACTCAAATCATGAACAATAACGTACAAAAATTGGTCGAAAGTTGTTTCAACAGAACTTCCCTCGCTCCTGTAAGTACAATGAAATATATCCAGCAGTTTCGAGTTGAATTTTCTCTTTACACAATTTTGTGATGAAGTCATCAACATTTTTGCAAGGACACGTTCATCAACTTGGATTGGTGTAGTGTGAAACTAAAAATAACAGTATTATATTTCCAAAGAAAGTGGAGCGAGCCATTCTTGATGTAATCAAAAAATGAATTGACGCCTTCACTAATTTTTTTGAGTCACCCTCTATAACCAAATTTAAAAAATATAAAGTTAATGATAAATTGATAAATTACAAGTATAGTCGTCTGAGCATACTTTTCACATTTTCGAAAGAATTTATTCGATAAAATTTTGAGATGACGTAATCAATTTTTTGGGGTTGATAAACAGATACATTTTAATTAAAAAGTTACCATGCTTACAATGACTTCAAAACGTCAAAATTTCAAAGTATTCAGTTTTGCAATTCTTTATATAATCAATAAAATACACTGACTCATTCATTAGTTTTTTTCAGGCACCCCATATAAGTAAATCTAAAAAATATGAATGCAGTGATAGATCACAAGTATAGACTTATCATATTTTGCACATTTAAGATAGGATTTTTGGAAATTTTGGGGTAGCGCCGTCATCAATTTTTTAGGGGGATGAGCAGATACATTTTGATAAAAAATTTACCACGCCTATGTCAACTTTAAAACATCTCAAAGATTTCAAAGCATTCAGTTTTGTAGTTCCTGATTAAATTAATAAAATAAAGTTACGCATTCATTAATTTTTTTGAGTCACACTGAATATGCAAATTAAAAAAATATGAATGGAATGATAAATCACAGGTACAGATATTTTGTACATTTTAGGTAGGATTTATTCGGTTAACTTTTTAGCTGACGTCATCAATTAAAAAAATATTAATGGAATGATAAATCACAGGTACAGATATTTTGTACATTTTAGGTAGGATTTATTCGGTTAACTTTTTAGCTGACGTCATCAATTTTTTGGAGGGGATAAGTAAATACATTTTGATCACAAATTTATCATACTTATCGTAACTGTAAACCATTTACAAGATTTCAAAGTATTCGATTTTGCAGATTCCAAATTAAATTGCAAAATATTGTTTCATAATTTTCATTTTTTTTTCCAAAAATCTGGACGTTTCGGGTAAAAACTCAATTCGGAGTCATAAACTACATGTGTAAGACTATGTTATTTGATACAATTTAAAACCCATTTACTATGTACAATTTTGAAGTGACGTCATCATATTAGTGATGGGGATGATTAGACAAATTTTAGTTAACGTTTCACCATCTACATGAAAACATGATATACCTAATATAAATACAAAATTTAGCACTTTCGGAGATTATGTGTTTAATAAAAATCCGGGACGGCAGACAGACGGACAGACAGACGGACAAACAGACGGACAGACGGACAGACGGACAGACGGACAGACGGACAGATAGACGGAAACGGGAGACCTATTTCTTCCTCCTCTAGGGGTCATGATAGGTCGAGAAAATGCAAAAGTAGAGAGTCAGCCGACGGACTCGATTACAATACTTCCTTTGCTTACGTTCGGGAAGTAAAAAAATAACACTTTCTGCACTGTTTTTTCAGATTTAATATTAAAGTGAAATAACATAAAAATATTAACAAATTTTAAATTTCATTTAGAATACATCACTAACGCTGATCACATCTGGTGAATTTCGTTCCTCTAAAACTTTCAGTGTTAATATTGTTATATTAACTTACAAAAAAAATTAAATTCGCAAAATCAAATTTTATAATATTTCAAAAACGCTGGATATGTTTTATTGTAACGGGTGTTCAAGAATTGAAAAATCACTCAGAATAGGCGTTGGAATCACAAACGGCATGTGTATTCTTATAACATCCATTTAGCAGAAACATGCAAGTTTATACAAACATTTTCTGTCACATATCCACATATTCCAGTGGTTGGATGAACACCCGTTACTTCAGGGGCGAAGGATGTTCTGTCGAAATAACCTTTGACCAAATTTTTTGTTTCTAGACTTGTGATACAAATAATATTTTAATCGTTTCTGTAGTCCATTAAAGTTCCCCAAACTGTTTTCTCGTACTTAAACTAATTTTTCCATGCTAGGCATCCTACCGTAGGGAAGGTAGGACACCTAACAGAAAATAAAGCAACTTATGTAAATTGTGGAATTTTAATAGATGGTATAACAACCGAATATCGAAACGTTCTTCCCCGTTAAAAATGGGTCGAAGGTTACCTCGACAGAACTTCCATTGCCTCTATAGTACAAGAAAACATCAAACTTTTTCGAAATATTACATAATTTGGTTTAGTGAATTGTATTTTTCAAGAGAACCCCTTTAAGTAAAGATAAAGATATGTATGTAGTGTTAAAGCAACTATAAAAAAGCGTGCTACGTGTTGTACCTTTCAAATGCATTTTTCCTTTAGAATATTTTATGATAACAATGACGTGATCAACATTTTTGCAAAGACACGTACTCCAATTTGGATAGGTGCAGTTGTAATACCAATAATAACAGTATTCCATTCTCAAATTTTCCGGAAAATAAGGTGAACTAATTTAATCATTAAAATCAGTTGACTCATATGAATCCTACGATAAATCACTAGCAAAGACTCGTCATATTGTGGGAATTTTCGATTGGATTTATTCGGCAAAATTTTGAAATGACGTCATACATTTTTTGTTGGGAATAAATAGATATATTTTAAAAAAATTTAAAATTTACCATGCTTACGACAACTTTAAAACGTCTCCAAGATTTCAAAGAATTCGATTTTGGAGATTCCAGATTTAATTGCAAAATATTGTACAATTTTGATTTAAAAAATCTGAATGTCAAGTTTTTATCCGGATTCATAAACTACATATGTAGGTTTATATCATTTCTTC